TGGCACCGCAGGTCAACTCTGACAGGTGGGTGGGGACTACCCACATTTGAGAATCCAGAGTGTCATATTTCATTTCCAATGAACTCTCTTGCCTCCCCAAATTGGCTTCACAGACCAAGCCTGGCCCACAGGCTTGAGGTTCCTCACCTCTGCCCTAGAGATCATATGACAGATGATTAGCTAATTTAGTATTAGTGCCCCACTTTTATCACCAGGATAAATGACCATAGAATAGCCCACCCAATTATTAGCTACCTCCATCAACCAAAATCAGAGCATCAAAAGCAAAGATATAGGGTAAGACACTACCGTTAATTCAGAATACCCTTGGATCAAAGCACACCAACTGTACTTTTATCAAACTATTTGATATTTTAACAAAATATGCAGAATCAATTTAAACAATTAAATGTTGCTCTAACTTCTGAACTCGCCCCAACTGCTAGCAGAGGTAGGTAGATTCTGTGCCACACACATTAACAGCTACTGATAATATTCTTAACCATTCTCAATAAATACAACTTGCTAGTATCAAAGGACATCACAGTAGACCAGTTATAGACCTGGTCTATCAGTTACCAGTGCAATTTTAGAAATAATTTAATTCTGCCATACCCTTGCACACCTCTACTTCAATTATTTAAATAAATTCCTAAAAATCATTGTCATTCAAACATTGCAGATTCTTTGTTCATCTTTTATATGTCTTAGTACTGACTTTCACCATGGGGAAAACATTAGAAGTTGTTTAGCTGCATTAACTGTAGACCAGAATCCAAATAAGCTGACATTTTTACTCATTTATCAAATTTCTGAAGACTGCCAGTGTGCTCAGGTATCAGTAGGCCAAAATTGTATGTGCAGACTCTTATGTTCAAAAGTTGTTTTACATACATGACATAGTAAGTTGTGTGCCACCATAAATGCACCTAGTGAGAACTCTCAGCCAATTTCTGGTCCCTGATCCATCTATACAATACATATGTTTGGTACAGACAGATATTTTTGTCCACACAACAACAACAAAAATGTAATGTGTGAAATAGCTTTTAAGACCAATTCCCCCCACCACCACTATTTATATACAAGGTGTTCACCATATATTTCTAACATTTTATATTGATTTTATATTATTCTAGGTAAACCTGAGGACGCGGGGGGCGATGTGGTCTAAACCACTGAGCCTCTTGGGCTTGCCAATCAGAAGGTCAGCAGTGAGTCGTCTGCGACTGGACTTAACTGCCAGGGGTCCTTTACCTTTAGGTCAAAGGTCCTGTCAAAGGTCCTTTACCTTTAGGTAAGCCTGAAGCATATTTCTATTGAATTTTTAAAAAACCCATTTTTGATCTTTATTTAATATCAACATTTGCTAAAATGGTCATAGAATAAATTCAGAAAGAAAGAATGCCTCAAATGTTCCTTTGTTGAGCCAAAGTGCTATGGATCTGCAACAGCATGAAATTTCTACTGAGAGGCTGGATACAGAACTCATATTCCAAACGATACAATGCTGATTCCAAAGCAAACAGAGGTTGCCACCTTGTGGGCTGGTAAACTACAGCTATTAATTAAATGATATATTGTTGTTATACTTCTTGTAAGATCTGCTACAAAAGGTGAAAACATGTTTTGGGAATATTTTAAGAAGCATTAAATAGCATCCTGCCTCTTCTTGCAATTTATTTGAAAGGGATTGAAAGTGTTTGCTGCCAAATAAAAGCAGCATGTAACAGATGTTATCCCATTTACTCCATCGTTCCAAATTGGCTGGTGTGACCAATGTAACTCCAAATCCTATGCAGTAATCAGAAGAAAATCATAGCAGCAAAGCAATAACAGCAGATAGGGGAAACTGGAAGTAGTCAGAACTTAGCAGGGAAGAGAAAAGAGCCTCATGATTTAGCTTTTCCATAGGAGATAGTACCTCCTCTCAAATGCATCTTCTGATCTCAAAATAAAAATGGGAGAACATGCTAGTGCAAGCCGCCTTGAGAGTCCTGGAAGACCTCATCCCTGCCTTGCAGGCCTTTTCCCACCTGGCCTGAGAGGGCAGGACCCTGACTGACTCCAGCTACCAAAGGTGAGGCTGCTGAACAGACTATTGGGATGGAGTATTGTTTAGAATGTTTTGTTGGGAGGGGGGTTGTTGTTATTGATATTAATTTTTTGTACCGTTATTTTAGATCTTAATATGATTTATGTGAAAACTGTTCGATCCGGCTGTGTACTTTTGATGTTTTATTTATTGTTTATGACTACTTTGTTATGTTTGTAATTATGTAATTTTTTATGCTGTAAGCTGTCTTGAGCATGGTTTTAACTATGGAAAGGCGGCATACAAATAAAATTATGTATGTATGCATGCATAAAGATTCACTTGCAATACTGGTGCTTTCTGTTAATTTACTGAGTTTCTTAGTCCCTTTTTGGTCACAACTTGACACAGTTTGTGGTTGTGCCACATGCCAGCCGTATCTCTAGCCAGAGGAATTGTGCTAGAAAAATAGCACTGTGGGTGGGTAAACAGAGTCGGTTTGGTCTTATTCAGCTGTGCCTACCTGGGTTCTCAATGCAGCATCAGTTTTGAGGGTTGGGGTGGGGGAGGGGCTGTATTCTATCTCTCTCTCTCCAAGTTTCCTGCCAGCTTGAGTGGGAATCTAGAGTGAATGTACCTGGCATTGGGCAATCAGGACATATTAAGGAGTCTGCTGGTTTACCACCACACCACACTGCCCAGCAGTCTTGCTGACTGAGCTGACAGAGGTGGTCTTGGAAGTGGTCTTGAAGGCTTCCAGACATCTATGCTGTGGGAGCTGAAGGTTTCATGGCAGCCATGACAAAAATGGGGCTGTCTCAACATGTCACTGGCCACATACACATGGGAGGCCACATCCTGGATCTGGTTTTCTTAGCCGGGCAGGAAGAGAGTGATCTGAGAGTGGAAGGATATTAACAGCAGTCTTTTATCATGGTTGGATCACCTCCTGCGGAGTTTTAGGTGTCCAGCAGCTTTCCCCCTCTGCAGAGGTAGGGGACCTATTAGGATGGTGCACCCTCAGAGGCTCAAGGATCCAGTAGGTTTCCACATGATTCTAGGGAACTGCCCCATCTAATATGACTGGGGTTCCTGCTGAAACACTGCCTGATCTGTGGAATATACAGATGGCTCAGGCCATTGACACACTTGCCCGAGTACCCTTTCCCACTTGACAGAGCTTCGCTGGCTCCTTGATGTAGAGCAGAGCTGAGGGCAATGAAACAAACAGGGGAGACAGCTAGAGCGCAAGCAGAGAAAAACTCCAGGTAAACATAAGCAAAATTAGTGGGTGCTCATTATTGAGCCTATTTATAGTGACAGTGAAGGTGGCCAAGGAGACATACCTTTGCTACTTCCATTACATCCCCACCGGGTCAACCAGCAGAGCTTTTCTAGGTAGTATGAGGCCTTTTATAGTCTGACCCAAAGAAGGTGGCAGAACAGACAGTGGCCAACAGTGACTTGCCTGCAAAAAACTGCTGGCATCCATCCCAACCAGCACAGCAAATGGTCAGGGATGATGGGAGTTGTCAGTCAGCATCATGCTGATTTATCATCCCAAATGTATCCTGTTTCATTTTCTATGTGCCCTTTTAATTTTATTTTCTATTTAGTTTTCTATCCAGCTATTCAGTCATATTCTGTTATAATCATGTCATATTTTAAATATTATTTTGGGTGGGAAACACTATATATATATAGTCTAACTATATATATATAGAGAGAGAGAGAGAGTGTGTGTCTAACTTTTGGACAATTTCTAGACAGGAGGTGCATAGACAGTAAAGAATGTAACCAAACTAGACATTTTTAAAAATTTAATTAGTATGTCCATTTAGTGTTCTCAAACATGTTTTTGATATCTAAGTAATAGACACCACAGCACTTTTTTAAAAAAAGATGTCCTTCAAAAATTTATAACAGGCAAGCTCTTTCAATCATTTTTCATTCTTCCAATTTCTTTTATGAAGTTTCCTTATCTTTGTGAATTTCTACACTAGGAATTGTTAATTTATTTGATTGAAAAACCAACATAAAATGGTTCTGCGACTTACTGACAAAATATGGATTTAACAAAAAACAATTTAGTTGGCATTAAACCATTTTCTTATCAATGTAACTTCATCATGTCTACATTTACACCTCATCAGAAAGTTATACTCATTTGTTTTAACAGCATGCTTGGTTCAGCATTTTGAATCCTCCAAGACAGAGCTATTACTGAAGTTGATCATATTACTTCCTAATGCCTAATTTAGCATCTTAAAAGAATTCAACTGCAAGGTGTTCAGAACGTTATGGAGAGAGAAAAAGCTCTCCCAAGATACTCAGCTTCAAGCTTTGTCAATTTACTCTTCTAAAATAAAGTTGACATTCTAATGGGAATGCTCTACTTACAGCATAACAGGGAAGAAAGGGAAAAAACAGTGAGCTGTTTAAAAAAAAGCTGAAGTACCCTACAGGCCAACTCTGTCTGTTTCTGACTGCAGGTTAAACATGTGTTGAACCAACTATATATATATTTATATTCTTGCTACGTAGATTGGAATTAGAGGAGATGGCATCTTTAAGATTTCAGAGTTTTAAACTATTTGTATGTCTTTAATACACAAAAACATTCTTGAATATCTCCAAATACTCAAGTTTCTTCCTATATTCACTGACCTCCCAACTCAATTCAAACATACAGCATTCTTTTCATTGATTACGTTCCAAACTATTCTACTCACAGCAAGTTCTTGCTGCTATGCTAGTGCCTCATTTGGCAAATTTAATTTCAAGCCCACTCATTGATTTACCAAGCTTAAGAAGGAAACCAAGAAGGAGAAATTGTGGGCAGCATTCATGCAGGCAAAATATTGAGGCCAAAGATAGACCCTCAAGTAAAGGAAGAACTTTGCCTGATCCTATGAAGTCCCATTTTGTAGAATTTCTAGCATTTCAACAACATTGCGTTTATTACCTGGATACTATGCTGGATCCATTGTAGAGGTCACTAGCATACGACAGTGTTGCGAGGGGTCGGACAGAATTGTAGCGAGTGAACTTGGATAGACACTCCTGAAATTCATCCAACTGGCTTGAGGTTCTGCTGTCATCTACAAAGGTAGGAGGAGGGGGAAGGAAAAATAGGATTTTTAGATGGTAGAACACTCAGGAGCATCAGCAATTAGTGCAACTGGTACATTATTCAGTGACACATTTTCTGACATCCTTAACCACACTAACATTCTGACAGCCAAATTCTATTTTTCCCCCTACATCACTTAGTTCTGAATAGTCTTCAAAAAAGGCAGGTGCACACAAATCACATTACAGCAGTCTAACCTGGATATTATTAGTGCATGAGGCCAGGCCCATCCTTTCCAGATGGAATCACAGCCTAAGCAGATACTACTTTCGCTGTTGGTTCAGCAATGGCAGCAAGTTCTTCAACCTGCACCCTTCCTGTCTCATTTTAGGAAGGGAGGAAAAGGAAAGCCTTATTGGTGGTGCAGGGCAGATGACAGGGTGCCCTACAGCACCCCCACAAAAAGAAGTCACCCTAATTCATACACCACTTCCCAGGACAGACATGAATACAGGGACAGATGAAAACAGAGTAGGAAAGGCCACGAAGAACTTGGAAGTTAAAGAAAACTAATCTATGCTGATTGCAGATAGGGACAGGAATCTATGTTGGGAATTTAAAAGAGGAGCCAATGAGGTGAATGCTGTTGGCAGTGAAGTTTTAGATATAGACATGGGTAAGGAGACTGAGGTGGCACAAGAGAAGGCAATTAATATACTATTTTTGAATGTTTTTAAACATTTATTCTACCATATGGTTTCTCAAGATGGTTCATAGTAGGTTATAAAATATACATATATAAAAAAACCAATCATAATGAAAATCTGCGATAGTCAAGGAAAGAGAAGACTAGAGGTTCATGCTGAAGTAATTGTGGGTGGGGGTTGAGAGAAGTCTGCCGTACTGTACAGTAAGTCAGACTGAATTTTGTGGACAAAGCAGGGACGAATTAAATAAAGACAAAGCTTTGTATCTGGTTGACAGGGTGAAGGGCAATAATATGAGCCAATGGAGAGAATTACAGTGGAGCCTCTAGATATGAACTTAATTTATTCCGGAGGTCCCTACGTGCCCTGAAAAGTCCGCATCTAGAAGCACTGCTTCTGCGTATGTGGCAAAACCCGAAAGTATATACTTCCGGGTTTGCCACATTCGCAACCCGAAAGTTACGTTACCTGAGGGTTCACTGTAATAAGGAATTGGAGGGCAGACAAAACTACAAACTAGAAACAAATCAATATTATGGCTGTGGGTGTCTTGGTCGCCTAGAGAAATCAACCTCGGTGAGTGGCAAATTGCCATGCTGGACAGGAGAATACAGGTAACTGGATGTATGGTAAAGACACAGTTAAGTACCCCATTCAGTAGCTAACAGGTATTCTACCTGATACTCGAGTCATCCTGGTGGAAAAGTAGCATTGCTCCAGATCTTCAAAATGGGCTGTAAGCCTCTTCCTCCTTGATGCTAGCGTACTGTTATACCAAGGCTGCTTCTTAGCCTGAAAGAAGGAGGGGGAGGAGAAAGGCTGTATTCAGAAGCAACTCCTTTGGCAGATTCTACTGCTCAACGAATAAACAGTAGACAGACATTTCAGATATGCGAAGAATCAAAATAAGGGTTAACATTTGTATTTGCTTCTGATTTTGTCAGTGGTCCACATGGGACATCTTTTACCTATAATCCTTTTGATATGAAGGTAATAATTACAAGAGATCTATATTTATGCCTCAGGCATAAGATTTGTAAGAGAAATATCACACAAACCAAAGATCACAGTATTCTGGTGAACAGATGATACAACAGCAACTTCTCTAATTTCTCGTCATACCACTACAAAAGAAATGACACCCAGCTCTCCAAGTTGAGGGGAGGGAATGGAATGTCTTTATACTAATCACTTTCAAGGAAACAAATGACCAAGAAAATACTTCTTGAGCTCCCTTTCCCCCAAAGGCAACTTATGGAACTACAATACTTCAAAGCATACAAATTTCAGGATTAATTGCTATCTTGAATTTTTCTATGCAATTTCTTGTTGTTAATACAGCTTTTAGTAGAAGCACAACACTTGCACACTTACAACTCAACATTTTAAACTCAGATGAGTCTAAATAAGCAGAATAGAATTCAAAATTCAAAACTATAAGCATACACTCACAGAGGTGAATCTAAACAAACGGAATATGATTTAAAATAGGGAGGTGGGGGTAAGCAATGCTAAGGCTTCAAGTTTTCAATATCCAAACTTAACCAGACAGGATAAAGTTTGTGAGTCCTTCACATTTCCATGGCAGTCCTGAGTTATGTATAGATGTGTGGCATTTATGGATAACTTAACTATACATTTTCTTGGAAAGCAAGAATCTTTCCTGTCTTCTCATCGCCAGTTGATTTTGCAGTCACATGCTACTTAATTATAATGGTACTCATTAAGAACTCAAATTACCAATGTAAATTATAGAATATGTATACCAACAAAAAATGATTACATTTTTGAAAAATGTTAACAAGACTGTGGACTCGCCACTCTGCATTTCATATACTAACATCAAAAAACTAATTAGGAATGACTGATGAGTAAGTTCCACTTTGATTTGTATGGAATTTGGTTTAAGGTGTGCCCATTTAGAACAAACCTCAATCCATTCTATCTGTACTACGGTATGGGTTCCAGGACCACCTCCAAATGAAATCAATCCACCCCTTTGACCCATTAAGAATATAGTGTTAAAACAAGCTGATGTTACACAAAAACTGAACACACCTCCAAAAAGATTGCTAGGTGTAGTTTGTTCAAAAGTCAAAGCAACACTGAACTCTAAGTGAACCAGAAGACTGCAGCTGCCATGTCTTGCATGATAGTATTGTACAATGTACCTTTGTATTACAACAAAACTAAGAACCTGCTCTGTTACTAAATGATCAATCTGCCATAATGCATTTTTGATAAAATCAAGCTGCTTCACATCACACAACTTGTTTTCTTCAATGATCTGTTCACTCTCTTGCTTACTATGCCATCTCAAGTAGTTATATTCAGTATACAGCAGGAAGTATTCAGAAAAACTTCTTTAGGGCCGAACTAAACACAATGTAGGAAATATACATATCTCTCGCAAGTATCTGAAGGGTCAATAGAGAAACCCAGACTGGATGAAGATTCTTCTTCTTCTTTGGCGATCACTCATAGCCGAGTAAGATTGTCTTCCATAAACACGATTTTAACAATGAGTCAGTAAGTGACTGTGGAGGCCACACGTCATTCCACAGTGGGGACATTGGTTTCCGGGCGGGAGTTGATCACAGTGTGGATTTGCAAAGCGTGCCTTCCTCTTAGCACGTTTCTCCCTTGCGTCCTGAGTTTGAGTGTCTTCAAAGCCAATGACACCTTTGGTAAACGCTGTTCTTCAACTGGAGCGCTTGCAGGCCAGAGTTTCCCAGTTGTTAGTGTTTATACTACGTTTTTTTAGATTTGCCTTGAGACAGTCTTTAAACCTCTTTTGTTGACCACCAGCATTACGCTTTCCATTTTTAAGTTCGGAATAGAGTAGTTGCTTTGGAAGATGACCATCAGGCATCCACACAACATGACCAGTCCAACCAAGTTGATGTTGAAGAACCATTGCTTCAACACTGGTGATCTTTGCTTCTTCCAGTACACAGATATTAGCTCGCCTGTCTTCCCAAGTGATGTGTAAATTTTTTCGGAGACACCATTGATGGAATCTTTTGAGGAGTTGGAGATGGCATTTATAAGTGGTCCATGTTTCACAAGCATACAGTAAGGTTGGTAGTACAATAGCTTTGTAAACATGCATTTTGGTTTCCCTGCGAATGTCCCGGTCCTCAAACTCTCGGCATTTCAATAGGGAGTAAGCAGCACTCGCCGAGCTCAGGCGATGCTGGATTTCGGCATCAATGTTGGCCCTTGTGGAAAGATAACTGCCTAGGTAGGAGAAGTGATCGACATTTTCCAACGTTACACCATTGAGTTGGATTTGTGGCGCTGCAGAGGGGTTATTTTGTACTTGTTGGTGCAGCACTTTGGTTTTTTGGGTGTTGAGTGATAGGCCAAGCTTTTTGTAAGCTTCTGCAAAGATATTTAGGATGGTTTGGAGGTCATCCTCTGAGTGTGTGCACACTACGTTGTCATCAGCATACTGAAGCTCTACGACGGAAGTAACAGTAACCTTACTCTTTGCTTTCAGCCTGCTCAGATTGAAGAGATTTCCATCTGTTTGATATATGATTTCTGCTCTGGTGGGGAGTTTCCCTTCGACAAAGTGTAGGATCATAGCAATGAAAATAATGAATAGAGTTGGGGCAATAACACAGCCCTGTTTAACACCTGATCCCACTGCGAATGGTTCACTTTGAGAGCCATTGTTATCTGTGATTGGTGATGATCTGAAGGGTCAATAGGGAAACCCAGACTGGATGAAGATTAGGGCACTAGGTAAGTGGTAAGCAAAACCTTCCCCACTGCACTGTTTTCACAATGAAAATACCCCCAAATCTATTTGTTCCATGAGACAAAATATATACACTCTGTCCCACAGGGCAAACAAATGTGAAGAGTGCCAAAATAGCTAAACTGTGGTTAATTGTAACTATGGATAAGGAAAACAAACCAGCTTCAAAAAGTATGGTTTGAAATTTGTATGTTTTCACTTGCCATATTTAAGACTGTCTCAGTATAGACAGCACAGCAAGCTGTAGCTAATAAAAAATTAACTTCTCCTTTTAGCTGCATCAGAGGAGGGGAGAACTGTGTAAGTCTAGGAAGAGACTAGGCTTATTCTTGTAACTATGGTTTAGCATTATATCCTAATCAGCATATTTGAAAACTTTAAATGCTCTGCATTTAAATATTTAAGAACATCCATATCACCCTCCTAGATTGAGCTGTCTGAGGTCAACTTCTCCATCTTTGTACATGCCAAGGTTATTTTCTTACCTGGGAAGTACTGCTAAATCCAGGAGGTTGGCTGTATTCTGTAGAATCAATAATGCTACTGAAAAAATAAAGAAAATAATCTACATAAGGAGTTAAATTATATAGTGCAAGTCATATACATTTTCCCCAATGTGCAACTTTTATAGCCAGAAAAGTCAGTGTCACCATTTGTCATCAGGGAGCATCTCCACTCTGTCTACCTTCTACCTTCTCTACTCTTCTACCTTTCTAGAAGCTAGTAAATGGCATTCCAGTGCATCTCCTCACACTTAAAGAGCAACCATTTGCCTTGCAACTGGGGCTTAAAGCTCACTACAAGCTATCATCACAGTAATGTGAAGCTGCCAGGAAAGCAAATCTTAAGGCATTTAAAGGGAGGTAGTATTACACCTTGCCAGACCTAAGAGGTTGACTTGGTTGCTGATTTTATTGCTGTTCGCTGTACCATACACCTTCCCTTGCACCGCACTCCCCATTCTGCCCTGCTTGAGCATGCCTCCCCTACCACACCATCCACTTTGTATGGAAATCATATGGATTTCTACTTCCTTTCACCATTCTTCTAATCAATGAAGTGTGATCTTTAATCAAAATGTTGGTCTTCATTGGCAGAAAAGGTGTGGTTAAGGTGGGAAGGAGGGGCAGTTTTGTTATCTAGTTGACTTTCTGAAAGTGCTTAATGATTATTAGAATTGTGTTCAAGTGGGGCTGCTTCACGGGTAAATTTGCTGGAGTGAGTTTGGGTGTTTTCCCATTGGAAGCTAAATGTAGGTTTCGGGACTTTTATTACTAGTGACAAGGATCTTCTCTTCAAGGTGGGAACAACAGAGGCCCTAAGCCATTTCTTGTTCCATGGTGATGTAAGAGAGAGAGTTTTCCCTTTGGGCAAGTATATGTTTGGGTAATTTGTTGGACTGCAAAAAAAAAAAAAGTCTCCCAAGGTTCCCCCCCCCCCTGCAAGATTCAAATTCTTGGCAAAATGTACTAGCCCCAAAATTTTGGGGAGAAGCACAAAGTGAACTCTAGACAGTTGCTCCAAAGGGAATCAAACCCTCGGGCTGCAAAATATTTCCTACCCCCATAGGACATAATCCATTCCCATTACTTCTATACAAACTGTATTTCCTTCCAAAAAGAAATCAGTAAAAGCAGATGAGTGTAGACTATGGCAAGGGAAGGAGAGAAGGAGGGAAGGAGGGAAGATAAGGGTGGAGCAAGTTTTGTTTTAGTTTTATTAAGTGTGTTCTATACCAGACATCTCAGCAAACAACAGAGTAGTACCTGTGGGAAGGTGAGGGAGCCTCAAACTGAGGCACAGTGCTGTCCTCACTGACTGGTGAATACAAGCCACTCATTTCCTGCAATATAACCAGATGCAGCACAGTAATTATACAAAGTAAGATTCACACCCCCATTAACAGCAGGCACCTTTAGGAAGATACTACTTAACTCATTATTTTCATTTCAACTCAGCTAGTTTCATAGAACATTCCTAGCATTTTCTGGAGCAGCTAATGCTATTTTCTCTTTTTATGGTGCTAAAGCAGCTAAGCCACACTGAGCTTATCATCAAAGTGCTTTATTCCAAGAGCAGGCTGGTACAATTAGGACCAATATCTTCCATCTGAGCCTCTTAATATCAGCCCAGATGGAGAAAGTCAGCTGCTATCTCTCAAAATGTCCAAACACTTTTATAAGCTTAATGGTGAGACAGGAGCTCTGACATATGATGATGCATTTGAATAAATAGCAAGTTCATTCCAGCATTTCTAAATTAGCTTCTCAAGATAAGTGAGGCTGACAGGTAGCAAAACTCTTAAACTGGCATGGTCAAACTGCAAAGTCCAAAACTAAAACTATGGTTAAAAGGTTATTATATTTTTTGTGGAGAAAACACATACCTAATGTACGGTACTTCTGGAAGCTAACTAGACAGGATTACTAAGCAGCTTTTCTCTTACTGGAAGAAATTTAACAAGCACCTGAATATTCACATTTATAGCCTGCCTTCCTTCACATCTGCAACAGAATAGGTGGCAGTTCCCTGTAGTCTTACATAGCTACATTACTTATGTAAATGTAAGCAATATGTGGGCACTGCTAATCAAACATGTTTCTCCAACAAAGAGTTAGCCTCAGTCCAGTACTTATACATGCTGCAACCACATGGGATCAGGAACTGCCACATCTTTGCAATAACTTTCAAAATGGGGCTCTTATTCCAGAAAAAGAGAGGGACAAAGTAAACAGAAGGGGCGAGATCACTATTCCTATCTACTTGAATGTTGCCAGTTGGATGCAGCCTTTTCTTTCTGGCGCTATCATTTTATGGGCTGAAGGGAAGTTCTTATTGTTAGTATCTGTCTCGAGAGACAATGGGGTCGAAATGCTGTGTTAGCAGCACTGAAGTGACCTGTCTGGGGCTCAAACCTGGGCAGTGTGTATGGAGGTCCTGGGTTGCCCAGACAACAAGACCCCCTTCTCAGCCTTGCTGATGTGAGCCAAAGAAAAACGGAGTAACACATTTGGCACCAGCTTGGCGTACAAGGTGCCACCCAACTATCTTAGGAAGTTCACTCTGAATTTGTGTAGGTTACGCCTTGGCTTTTTCTTCTCCCAAGATATTCCCACAAGGCAGCAGAGGTTAGAATCAAGAGTTTGGAGTGAAGTATGACCTATAATAATTATTTCTTTTGAGCCATCTAGGATTATGATGCAACTCCCAATACCTCACAAGCTGAAGCACACAGAAAGCTACACACAGAGAAATAAATTCTGAATACACTGAAGGTATACATATATTTGAAATGCCCTCTCATCAAGCAGAAACTCAAGCATTCAAGTGAACAAATTAACCAGAAAGCTTAATCTGTTCATTTTCATCATTACTGAAGTAACTGCCACAGCAGCTCACAGCGATGCAGACAGTTTAATGGAAATGAAAAACTGCTCAAGTTGCAAGCAATGGCTCAGTGCCTCACCTCCACTCGTTTGATATCTTCTTCCAGTACACTCAGTTCCTTCTGGATCTGCTCCAGTTGCTGTGGATGAAAAAAGGGATAAGCAAAATCTAAGCCAATTTGTACTGGAAACACTGACACTAGCATAAAATAAATCATTTTCCTTAAAGAGAAGGAAGCGCAAATGGGTTAGGAAAAAATACTCATCTCAGGTAGTCAGTGTGCACAAAGTAATGTGCATTATATAAACAAACAAAAATGTCACAGGCAAGAACATTATGTTGCATAGCTTCAGTAATAAAGGGGCCCAACATTATTAAACGTTAATATGTGGTACTCTTAACATCCAAGGTTCTTAAAGTGATTTTAAAAGCAATTATGCTTCACATAATTAGAAAGTCACTGATAACCCACCCAGCACTTGTATTGCTATAGCCTGTAAGATAATAGCAAATAGGCAAAAAAATCCTTCGGAAACAAGTAAAATAATTCAACTTGAACCAAGCTGAATTTAATTTGCCTAGTGATAAACATTCTGTTTATTTGGGAATTGGCAATGCATCAATGTTAACATTAGGAATTTCAAATCTTTTGAAAGGAGCAGCTAAAATACAACTAGGCATTATATCAAACAACTAGCTTATATAAAAATATGTCACGTCCAGGGCCCACTAAATCCTCTGAATAAAAATCAAAACAGACTAATTACTAGTAGAGAAGGGGAGGAGTTATCTAGACACCATCAGATACTTGAATAGTGGTATCAACCCATACTGTAGAGTAGCCATGATACGTAAGATTCAATTGTGACTAGGGCTGCCACCCATCCCTTAAAATGCGGAATCGTCTTGTATTTGAAAGTAAAATGCTAAGCTCTGTATTGATTTAATATGGGATGCAGTTTGTCTCGTATTTGAAGTGATCCTCCCATTCTCCATTCCCTCTCCCTCTCTACTCGCTGGCCCTTTAAGGCATTTCTGCCCTGCCTCTCCTCCTTCCACCATTTTTGTCCTGGCAGAGAAGTCCTAGCTTTCTTTGCCTCATCACCTCCCTGAATCCATAATGTCCCAAGTTCTTCACAAGGATGGGAACATCCCCTACCCCCACATCCCCAAAAGAAGGACCTTTGCATTGAGGAATTCCACCATCTCTCTTTCCACCAACCGCTTTTCCATCTATGGGACAGCCCACTCTCCCCAAGAAAACAAGTCTCCAAGTTGTCCCAAGTCCTCTGCCTCTTCGTTGCTCCCTGCCTTCAGTTCTCTCCCTCTCCTTACACCTCTACTCCCGCATCCCCCAAAGAAGCTTCTTCCTTGTGACATTCTAATCCCCCCCCATACTTCAAATATGGTAGCCTCTCCGAGTTTCCCCTACACCTTCAACCTTCCTTCAGTCCTCTTTGGTCTCCTTCTCATTTGCTTTCTCTCCCTCATTACCCTGGCCGGCTCCTCAGATCTGTGGGACCTGACCTGCCTTACATACAAACCCTTTCCCCCCTTCTTAACCCATCCTGACACCCCACCCCCATTTTCGTTCTTGGGATATATATGTGTGCAGCCAGCACATCCCCAGTGGGAAGGGTCTGTCCACTTCCCTACTGACATTGAGCCTTCCCTCTTTGTCTGCCTGGCAACAGCCCATTCTGCCTTGTGTGCCCCCCTACTCTGCTTTTTTTGCTAACTGTGATGTGCCTCTGCAACAGCTTGGGGAGGAAGAAAGCCTGCCAATGCATGCAAAACTCTATCCATGCAGAGATCGGTGCTTGCTTTGCTTTTTTTCCTCTTGTAGGTCTTTGCAGGAAGGTAGACATGATGGAATGGCAGGAAGGGTCCTCCTGGGAGGTTTGCAAGAAGGAAAGGGAGTCTCTTCTTTAGGCTGCAAAACTCCCTTGAGTGGTTTTCCCTTCCCTTGTTTTTGCTGAATGTAATGGGCTCTCCCTTTTTAGTGTCCACTAAGCCAGACCCTTTTAATAGGATTAAAGACCAAAGCTGCGAGAGAAAAAGCAACAAGCGCTGGAGCCAGATTGAGGTTTCCTGCTTGCCCTCCATTTCCAAGCCCCCTACACAGACCCATTTCCCTCTTTCATTGGTTAGCTGTCAGGAGAAGGACAAAGGATTGAGCAGGTTCCTTATCAGCCAGGAATATTTCAAAATTGGGGCACTTTGACTAAAAACAAAACAGCATCATCTTGAAAAAAAGAATCACATTATACTATTTCCAGAGTTGCTCTTACAGCTTTTGGAGTCAGTCCCCCCGCCTACAGAGAGAGAGAGGCAGACAGACAGAGAACTTTCTTGTGATGCAGCAAAGCTTTTGTGGTCAGAGATTTTAATTGCACCTGCAAACGTTTACAAGCAAGCAGCACTATCACTCCAGCAGCTAGTCAGTTTTAATGGCAAATCTCAATCAATGGCCATTAGATTACTACTTTTGTCACAGAAAGATCTTTGCAAAATGTGGCTGCTGAGAGTTGCCCCGACACTTACAGGGCAGAGTGTCAATAGTCGCCTTCAAAACAATCAATAAAATCTACAGGTTTTATTATCAGCTTCAGCCCCAAACTACCAGCATGAGAGATAAGTGTGACCCTCTTCATTATTCGTAGGATATGTTTACCACACTCACACAATGCTTCATGCCACATTAGAATGTTACAACCGATCATCCATTAGCATCGTTCACAAAAGGATGTCTGAAGACGCATCATGTGCCATCAAAACCCACAAAGTATAGCATACAATTCCTAACTGTATCACAATTCCAGATCCTGCGTTTATAACACAGACACACATGAGGAAGGAAGGAAGTGCTCCAGCAATATGAAACAGGCCACACAGTGGTTTAGAAAGTAACCATTACATTTGCAGGGTTCTGGATAGAATAAAACAAAGTGATGACTTCTTTACCAAAGGACCACTCACCAGAGAATTAGACAAGAAAAACCTGACTCAGTTTGGCACACTGAAAAAAACAAACCAGAATTTACCCCAGACACTCTTGCCCAGAATTTAGAAGTACCACCAACAAGATACTTAGTTTTCAAGAAGGTTTTGCAGTGTTTACTTCTTCAGTAAACACGGTTGCAATCTCGGATCAAGATTCCAAGCCAGAGATCACTCTCTATTACCTGATTCTAACCTAGTTCTCTCCAGATGTTCTGGACTACTATGCCCATCAAACTAAGCCAGCATGGCTAACGGTTGAGGATGGTGACAGCCATAATTCAAAATATCTGGGGCACCAGTTTGGGAAGACTAATTTATTATTATAAAACTAAAGGTGCTGTGAACACCTGTAACCAGATGGTTTCAATATGCAAAATCAAAAGAGGAAGATAGTTTTTCTTCATTTTCAAATGGGGGGGGGCACACTGGCTACTTAAATTCCTATGAAATCTTGAATAAGAAAAACCTAGGATGATGTGAACATCCCAAATAGCATCTCTTCCTATGAGACCTGAATCTACAGTTGAACAAACCCTGGATTAAGTGACACATCACCAGCTTGTCTAGGACATCAAAAGGGGCAGCTTCACAACTGGTAGGACCCACAAGGAAAACCGAAGCTATCATCTGTGCAGTAAATGCAATAATGGAAAATCATTCCAAATATATGCTTCAAATGAGTGTTTCATTTGACCTACTCACACAGTTGTGAAATGTGATGGGTACTTACATAGGCACCATATGCTTTCGTTACAAAGTCTATAAAATGTGTTGTTGCCAATAATTCATTGTATGTTCCAGAGTGGCATCAAATCTACCCCTGGTTATATGAACACTTTCCAAAAACCATAAAGATTATAAAAGCAACAAAAAGAAATCTGATCATAAAGCAACTGTAGTTTTAAGTAATCAACTTCAGAGCATTTGAATGCCACATTTTTCAAAAGGCAAACAAATGGATGGATGCTTATGGAAATGAGCATTAAACCAGCAAAAATCCCTGCTGCATGCTATTGTGGCTACTTTCATCTAACTGAGCAGTGAAATTGCTGAAACATTTTTTTTAAAAAAAGGATAATGGTAAATTTACTACTGAAGCTAAAAGCCTACCTTGGGAATACAAGAAATAATCAACTATCTGTGATCTGAATGATTTTTGCCTTTGTCATTTCTCTTCCCCTATAAATCAATCATCCTATACGCATGTGCAAATGACCTAAGCAACAATGTTTGACACGAAAAGTGATTAGCAGGAGCTAACAACGGCACTGGAGAATTCATGTTTTTATTTGTCCACAATTACCACGCAATAACTAGTGACAGTCTCTCTTTCGCTACTTAACATCTTCATTCTGTTGACGGAGGACCAGCAGTTGAATGGATATATTTAGGAAGATGACAACTCCAGAATGTTCAGTATATGTACGCAGCTAAATAAAGTAGTGCAACACTTCCAGGGTAGCTGCCTTTGTAGCTGTTGCCTTTGTCTCCTTTGGGAGGAAGGGCATGCTATAAGAAACTTAATAATTTTCAGCTGGCCAAAATATTTTTCATAGTGTGTATAAAATAAGCTTCACTTAAGTGAGAAGGGATTATATGGATATGCTCCTAAATTGGCCTGCTCACTTAAAGGAGGGGGCGCAGGCCTTGACTGAATCAGAGGATTGTAGAGTTGGGAGGGACCCCAAGGGTCATCTAGCCCAACCCCCTGCAATATGGAAAACCCGCCCTCCTTGGTATCTCCTGAGAGGATTTTAGTCTCTGTGTCAACCCAGTTCTTTCTTATCAGAATAATGTACAGCTTAGGCCTTTCCTATTCACTCCTCTTGGCAATTTTACAGAATGCTACTACCTTATCTTCTGCAGCCTTGGAGTCATTGTACAGAAATTGAGATGTACACCAGTTCCCCACACCTCCCCCAAAATTATTCTCTTGCTCCCTCACTATTACCAGCTCTCTCTCGACTTCTACTACACCATGGCACCTATCAACTGGGTACTGCTAAGTGGAAACCTCTCTCTGTTTCCAGGCTTGTTAACACTGCTAACTTTTTAAAGCCAATTGGCTATTTAAAGTTGGGGTATACATTCCAGGAACAAATAAAAACGTATTCCCACTGTCACACAGCTTTTTGTTTTCTTATGACATTTGGGAGATCCTTCCCAAGGGTACCAAGAGACCATTGCAGGAAGTCTTAACGTACCCTGCGGTTACTGCTGGCCAACAAGAAAGTTAAAGTAGCCAACTAATTTTAAATCCAATTTACCATTCATAAGTGGGGTGTTCAGGGACAAGACAAAGACTATTTGCAAAAAAACTACAAGATTTGTGACCAAGAGGAAAGGCTTTTATATACTCAGGGACACAGGAAAAGCAGTATAAAAATAGAAATAGAAATAATAGTGATATGATGATGACAACATCTAAAATTAAATAGTCAGTGAGTTTAAGAGTAAATATAGTTTATTTATTCCAGGCTAATCATCATTAGATGCATCACCAATACTGAGGGGGCAAGGGCAGAGTAAATCTGAAATCACATGTGCGCAACCCCATGGCCCTAAATGCACACTCATTTAAGTTGGAACAACAAATATTCACACTGTCCATGTAGGGTAACTTCCCCCCCCCCACCTAATAGGCCAACAAGCCTGCTGTAAACCTACTTGCATCCTATGAGATTTAACACTTTCCCCCCATGCTAAATCAATTAAAGCAAAACTTCATGTTTTCACAATACTCCAAACAGATACCATCTCCCCTTGTCCCACATTTTATAAAGATGGGATAAGACCTGCCACAATATTATTTCAGCAAAAAATAAAAAATTAAAAAATTAAATCATCCTAGAATCTATAGTATATGTATGTACACAGTAGCAGGGTTTCCACATTAAGACTTTTTAAAAACTTTGCTAGAGAATAATTTGTAATGCTGCCCAATTCTAGCCCCAGCTGCAATTTGCTCCAAAAAGTTCCTGCAACTGCCAACAACTATGTCCTTGATAGTCTTCTTTCCCAGCATATTAAAAGTTAAGCAAAAGAAACACCCAATTCAAGTTGAAACACAACAACACAAACCATCCTTCACAGTATGATATGGAGTCTTTCAAATCCATGTGTTTTAAAGATTCTGTTGGAAAGGATTCCCACCCCACCCCACACACCTCCTTATTAACACAATGTGATATGCCAACTCGCGTTATTAAAAATAGTGCAATGGAAAAAAGACATCAATAGTAGTAAATCAAGTAGTTTGTGTTAAGTAGGTTACGTTACCTCTCTTTTATTTCTCCTGGCAACCTTCAGGAATTCCATCAAAATCTGTAGCTGGGCGGCGTGGGATTCCTGTAACAGAAGGTTTAGGCATAAAAACGGGACTATGTGCCAAATAAAATAAAAAAGTAAATTTCTAAGATACATGCAAATGTTTTCTCTCTCTGAAAATATGCATATACAAGATGCTAAGGTGATACATGACACAAATGGAAATATGTACAAAAACCTGTACAATAGGAAAGCCTAGCATGTACATTACATGGCAATCTGCATGGGTGGCACCTTGATAATTATGGAATGCCCTCACCTTTCAGATTTCACTGATGCTGACTCTGGTGGATTTACAGCACTAGTTAAAAACCCATTTATTTACCCAGACCTTTTTGTACATTCGTTTGCTGGCAGAAATGGGAACAACTGTCATTACACATCCATGTGATGTTTAGTTTTCAAACATTATTGGTTTTATAGGTAAAAAGTAAAGGACCCCTGGGTGGTTAAGTCCAGTCAAACTTGATTATGGGGTAAGACGCTCATCTCGCTTCAGGGCAAGGGAGCCAGTATTTGTTCGCAGACAAGCTTTCCAGGTCATGTATTAATAGAACCAGATTTGGGAATACAAATACAGGTCATTTTCAATTCACTCACAATCTGAAACCCACTCCAAATTAGATTTTCAGATTCTGCAATAAGGAAAATCTTGGTTGGAGAGAATTTGCTCCACAAAGTAGTTCAGTTTTGGCTAAGGGTCTTAATATTCCTAAATCTGGCTCTTTACCTAGTACAAGCATTTTATCTGCACCAGCCCAATATCCTTTATTATCAATGCTATCCTCCCCTTCTAAAAAATATATTTATGCTGCTAAAAGGCAATGATACAATTACCACAAAAGATTCTGGAAAATAAGCAGAGTAAATTGTTACTGGAGGCTATATACATACTGTATATATACCAGGATAATTTCACTGAGGAACTGAGAGTCTAAATGTAGGCATACAGCTATTTGTTCCACTTTATTGCGTTTTTGTCTGAAGACTAAGTTAAGGGAAAAGGTTGTGCAGCTGAAAAATGCCGCATCACACTTCCCCAACCCAATTAATTAGATCTGCATTCACTATTGGTTAGGCAAATATTAACCAAGCCTACATATCCCTTTAAAAGTACTCCCCTTTTCAGTGTCTACTTAAACAGGACAAAAATGTTTCCTAAGCAAATTCCAATATTGTTAGTTCATACATTTATGCATATCTGCGCTACAGGCCATAGTTGCGGTTAGAAGGCACATCATGTAGCAACCAGTACTGAATATAAACAGCTTTGAGTTTGCTAAATGCTTGGATAGGAGACTTCCTGTTAACTCTCCTAAAAGTGGAATATAAGTGTAATAAATACAATAAATCTGTGCACAACAGGCCTTAAAAATATCTAAAGCTGTATAAACATACAAAAATAAGCCTTTAAAAAGTTGAATAGCCTTAAAAAGTTCAATAGGGAAAGTAGTGTCCTTTCAAAAAAGAAAAAATGATTTTGATGTTAGTTGTTGAAATCCATCTGTCTTGAGCAGGCACAGGCAAACTCGGCCCTCCAGAAATTTTGGCACTACAACTCCCATCATTCCTGACCACTGGGCCTGTTAGCTTGGGATGATGGGAGTTGTAGTCCCAAAAATATCTGGAGGGCCGAGTTTGCCTATGCCTGGTCTTGAGAGACAATGGAGTGCACCTCCAGGGGTGAAGTCAAATAGCTGCATTAAAAGCACCAGAGTCCTCCCTGGGGGGGCAAGCCAGGGTATGGAGGTCCTATGCTGCCCAAATGACAAGACTCCCCTCTCATCCTGGTTGACGGGGTCCAAAGGAAAGCAGAGCAATACACTTGGCACCAGCTTGGCTGCAGGAGGTGCAGGAAGGAGGCGTACAATGTGCCATCCAACTGTCTTAGGTACTGGTGTTAATGCAGTAGAAGATAAAAGTGCAAATGGCTGTGAGAAGGTGCAAAAAGCAAGGATAGACACTTTGTTGGCCCTTTTTCCATCAGAATATCAGATTCATTTAATCCAGGACTAAACCCAGAAATCTGAATGTAGCCCAGCAATTTTGCATCCTGGTCCACCAGATATTAACAAACCCAAGCAAACAACAGGATTATCATATTTCTTGTAGCTGGCCAATGGCTCTCTTGAGGGCACTGATTTACATGGTGGGTTACAAGTAGTGCAAGCTTGATTTGTTACACCATGTTGGGCTGGGTGGCGTCTGCTTTTCAACACTGTGAAACATCACAATATGGTAGGGCATCACAATGTCGGAGAGAAGGCGAGGAGAAAGACGGCAGTTGCCAGCCATGGAAACAATTAGCATCACTGTGTGCAGCTTCTGTCTCTTTCAAAACTGCTGCCCATCTGCCCATGCTAAGGCAACTGAGGCAGGTCCATGGGGTGGGGTGGGGGGAGAAAGAGTCAGTCTGCTCACCCCATGTACGCGCCAAAGGGGGGGGGCTTGATCAGCTGAGAAGCGGGGGGTTAAGTAAGTCCGCTTCTCAGTCGATCAAGCCCACAGCATCCAGCTCAGGCAAGCTGGAGTGGGAGCTTTGTTAAACCGCTCGCTGAGGCATGGGCAGCCACAGGCCCTCAGTGAAGCAGTTTAAAGAAGCCGCCTGCCTGCACAGTCCCTCTGTGGTATGAGGGCCAGAGTGCGTTGGTAGCTTCACCCAGCTCTTATTGCAGGTGAAGCAGCCTCACTCGAGTCGCTCCATCACATCAAGAAGAACTTTCTGTTCCACAGTGGAATGGACTCACTAAGAAGGTGATGGACTCCCCTTCCTTGGAGGTTTTCAAGCAGAGAATGGATGGCCATCTGTAATGGATGCTTTAGTTGAGATTCCTGCATTGCAGAGGGTTGGACTAGATGACCCTGAGGGTACCTTCCAACTCTACAATTCTATTATAACTCACCACAAGTTACCAGGTAAGTGGCATATACAAGCTTTCCTACTTGTATTAAAATGGCTAAGCAACAATGCTAAGCAACCGTCAGGAAGTCACCTTTGTACTGTACAGTGGAACCTTGGTTCTCGAACCTCACCCATTCCAGAAGTCCGTTCGATTCCCGAAACTGTTTGAAAACCAAGGCGCGGCTTCCAATTGCCTCCAGGAGCTTTCTGCACTCAAGCGGAAGCTGTGCTGGATGTTCGGCTTCCAAAAAGCATTCGAAAACTGGAATTGTATTATTTATACCCCGGGCCATCTGGCTGGGTTTCCCCAGTAAGTTTTCCCCACTTACTTCCGGGTTTTCAGCGTTTGGGAGCCGATTTGTTCGTCAACTAACTAAGCCGTTCGAGAACCAAGGAATGACTGTATTAGAATTTCACCAAACAAAAAGTAATGTTTCTTAATGTATTTATTAACAGAGAGAAGGGGAAAAGCTTACTGCTTCCAGCTGTTTTTTCTTCTGGACCAGGAGTTCCAACATTAAGTTAACATTAGCCAAATCAAGATTATCTTGATCTGTTCCCAGCAAATCTTGAAATATCTGCCACCTGTGGCCATTCTAAAAGCAAGCAAACAAACAGACAGACAGACCATCAAGGTATATGTTGGTGAAAACAGGCAAATAAATCTTGCAGCAATTTATAGATTACAGACATGCCCCACTGTATAAAGAGAATGCATTTCTCACAAAAAAAGAGCTTCACCCATCTTAAGTGCCGTCCACCCCACTGTACACTATTCCACAGCTTCCATCTAGCCCTCAGGAGAGACAATAGGTAAGGGAACAGAATGCCCCACTGAATGAGCAAAACACTGTCAGTAGTTATTTGGATCCAAACCTTGGAGTTGTACAGTGGAAACTTAGGTACAGATTTCAGGGGAAACATTTAAGCACACTACCTTTGGGCAAGTCGATGTCTTGATAATAATTCTTAAAAGAAATATAGAGCCCGATTTTCCAGGGTAAAGTTTAATTGAAAAAACTGTGAATCTTTTTACTATAAGCATTAAGAATGAACTTTTTAGCATTTCTACTCAAAACTGTATGGGGCAGCTGCATATTCCTAGATCCTCAGGGTCCCTTCCAACTCTATATTAGTCCAGGACTGTAGTTAAAAAGTAAAGGTAAAGGTACCCCTGCCCGTACGGGCCAGTCGTGTCTGACTCTGCGGTTGCGTGCTCATCTGTAGTTATATAAGGCTAATTACATATGGTACGCTACATCAATTTGTTTTCTCTGAAAACCTATGACTATTTACACACATTCTGATCTCCACTCAAATCCAAGCCCCCATTTACAACAGAAAAAGCTGAATATGTATGTTGGAACTGCATAACTGATTCCTAGAATATAAAAACCTATCACAAAATCTAAAGTAATAATAAAATTTAATTTTAAAGAATATTTTTGTTTCATTTTTCATCTCCACATCCATCTCTCATGTTTCCTACCATGATGACCTGTGGTTTTAAGCAACAAATCTGAACAAACAGTACCCATAACTAAAATTATTACCCAGAAGAAAAATGAGAGTAAGAAATTTGGACATACGGTGCTACTCACTGAATGGTCCAGTTTGAATCTCTTTTCCTCAAATCTTTGCTTTTGTTTAAGGATAAGTTCATTCACTAAACAAAAGGAAAAGAAATAAACAGTGAATTTTTACATGTGTGTGTGTAGTGTCTTGAAGCATGTTTACTAGGAAATTAGTCTTAGTAGGCAAATCAAACAAAGGAATCTTTCCAATCTCTCAGTTTTACTTATTTAATGTGACTGAATTAAAATCATTTCACAACTTTTCCTATACTTTGTCTATTTTGTTTACACAGTAACATTGCAGAACACATGGTTTAAGTATGTGTAATTAAATTGCTGATAAAGCCACACATTATGAAATAAAATATTGAACAGCTGAAAACGAAGTAACGTCGGACAGTTAGGCCATAAAGGGAACAGTTGAGGCAACCACATAAAATCAGTTTTTAAGGAACTGCACTGGCTGCCAATGCATTTCCGGTCCAAATTAAAGGTATTTGTTAAGACTTACAAAGCCCTGGACAACTGGGCTGAAGAAGTGTCTCTCCCTGTATTGTGCTTGAGCATTGTGATCTTTTGGGGAGGCCCTTCTCAACTATCCCACCTTTAGGACTTACACACCCTCCTGTGGAATATCTTCCCATATGAGATCCACCTGATGCCAACTTTGTTTGTATTTCAGCACTGAGACCTAGTTATTTTCTCAGGCTTTGGGGAACTGTTAATCTTACAGATTAATACTACAACAATGTGTTTTAAAATTATTTACTGTTTTGATCTGCTGCTTATTTTTAATTAGAATTACTTTTAGATATATGTGTACTCTACCCTGAGATCATCTGATGTAGGCTTTAAATATTTAAATAAATAGGCTTTAAATATTCAAATAAACAAGATCTGAATAATTAAAACAAACACTTTAAACCTATGTTCTCTCCAGAATTTCACTCCACGTGTAGTTTGTTTACACATTCAAAGTAATAAAAACCACCACCACTTAATTTTTTCATAGCAAGGGACCTTCCCGTTGAGCACAAAAAATGTTATGCAGTAAATGAGTCTTGCCTACAGCATAGGGTCAAGAACATTCACATTTAGATATTCCCAGCTGGTTACCACACTTTCTCAAACAGGTCAGTACCTTAGATTTCCTAGAGCAAAATATCTAGAAATGTAGTGAGAGAAAAACACAATAATCCAGACCTCTTGGGAGGGTATATATTTTTGTTTAAAACAGAATGAGCAAAGTAGAAGAACACAGTATTTAAGTACCAAGCATTTGGCAAGCGGGGGGGGGGGGAGGAGGAGGAGAGGAAAGCACATTTTATACACTGGAGTACAGGCATCCCCCTACTTATGTGCAGAAGTGAAAATGCATAAAGTGGGGAGCGCTCCATTTAAATAGGGAGTGGGGGAGAGAGAAACAGAGCTTACCCTGGAAATCACTTGGGGCTACTACCCAGCTTGCCCTGAGCCTACCTTTCTGTGTGGCCACGGAGGAGGGTGTGTGTGAGAACCAAGAAGGGCGCTAGCAGAACTGCTGCCAGGATGGGAACCTCCTGCCCAGTGCTGGCTGATCAAAGGCCACCTCCCTTAGCTCAGGCAGCAGCCCCAAGCAAGGGAAAGCCTATCTATTTATCTATCTATCACCTATCTATCTATTTTAAACAAGATCGCACACGAGTGGGATGTGCATAAGTCGGGGAAGTATGCCTGTAATCCAGGCAGAGGCAAACTCCGGCCCTCCAGATGTTTGGGACTACAATTCCCATCATATCTAGCTAACAGGACCAGTGGTCGGGGATGATGGGAATTGTAGTCCCAAACATCTGGAGGGCTGGAGTTTGCCTATGCCTGCTGTAATCAAATGTAGGCATTTCACTGCACAATGTAACTCACTTACATAACACTAATTCTCTCACTGATCTAGACATATTACAATGGGGTATACAGTGCACTGTTAAATTTCCAGGGGAATACATTTTGGGACAAAGAAGTGGGGAGGTTAGAATCATCTTCAAGGAAACCCTCAACCCCCTATCTTTTTCCATGCCAGTTCACTGCCAAAGCACCATTTGTTTCCAATTAACCCCTTAGTAGTAGTGATATTTTCACACAACAATTTACATCATCTGACATTACTGATACTGGAGAAAGGGTTACCTATATGAAATCTAAAGCAGCACCTGAGCACTATCTAGTGGGGACATTAAAGTACTGGAGCTCACACTTGACCATAATAATAATAATAATAATAATAATTTATTATTTATACCCCGCCCATCTGGCTGGGTTTCCCCAGCCCCTCTGGGCGGCTTCCAACTAAATATTAAAAACATTAAAAACTTCCTTAAAGAGGGCTGCCTTCAGTTGTCTTTTAAAAGTAAAATAGTTGTTTATTGCCTTGACATCTGCTGGGAGGGCGTTCCACAGGGCAGGCGCCACTACCGAGAAGGCCCTCTGCCTGGTTCCCTGTAACCATACTTCTCGCAATGAGGGAACCACCAGAAGGCCCTTGGCGCTGGATCTCAGTGTCCGAGCTGAACTATGGGGGTGGAGACGCTCCTTCAGGTATACAGGACCGAGGCCGTTTAGGGCTTTAAAGGTCAGCACCAACACTTTGAATTGTGCTCGGAAACGTACTGGGAGCCAATGCAGATCTCTCAGAACCGGTGTTATGTGGTCCCGGCAGCCACTCCCAGTCACCAGTCTAGCTGCCGCATTCTGGATTAATTGCAGTTTCCGGGTCACCTTCAAAGGTAGCCCCACGTAGAGCGCATTGCAGTAGTCCAAGCGGGAGATAACCAGAGCATGCACCACTCTGGCGAGACAGTCCACGGGCAGGTAGGGTCATCACTGTCAGGTATTAGGCAGCAGAGCTGGCAGCTAAAGACACATTTTAGGGTGGTGGAAAGTCAGTAAAATAGGCAGGCATATTTTCCTGGAGGAGAAAGTGCTTGTGCAAGCCACCTACATCCTTGATTCTGCTTGGTGCTAGCTTGTGTGTTATGCTATCTTGGCACGGCAAATATGCACCCAAGGTTCATTCTCCACGACGAGGGATCTTGTATTAAATTATTGTAAAGTATCCCTGAACAGAATGCTCTTACTCTGTATTAAATTAACAAGACAGGAGTGCATGGTAAGGACAGTTTGATAAATGTGACACATGCAAGGACTCAGGGGCAGCACAAGTTACAATAGCCTAGTAAAGAAGTGATCTAGAGAAGGAACACAGCAGGTTGATAGAAGGACAATGAGATATTCCGTAATGACAGATGGTGTCGTGGAAGTAAGAAGCAGAACAGAAGAAATAACAGCAGCGCAGCAGTTCCGAAAGATCTTAAAATGCTTTCCAGTTTGCATCTCTAACTGACACACACACATATCACAACCAGAGATCTAAAGTCTGTTGCTCCGCAGTAGCAAAAATTACGCATACTTGCTATATTCCAAATGTTTCCCTCATCTATGGCAAAATCCAGTATAAAACCTAGCTTACTAAACAAACCTAGCTAGATGATACCTAGAGAGGGTTACAACAACTTAAAATTCAATGTCAAAAACATTTTTTAAAACATACTTTCCAAATATGCCACCCTTGACACAAGGGTAATTTATCTATTTTGCACAACACTATATCCAGGTTCTTTATTACAGCAACATTCCATTCTCTATCCATCATGCACATAAGAATTAAGCCAAATCCAGTAAACAAAGTGTGCTCTAAGCACTTTTTCAGTATGTCAGACAACATGCTGCTTGAATAGAAAATATATTAAAGCACAACCTGCTTACAGACTGCATTCTATGAAACATTGGGTGGTATCAACTAAGTTTAACTCAGAGACCCAACTGAAATTAATGGATCTAACTTAGTCATGTCCATTAATTTCAGTGAGTCTACTCTGAGTAAAATCTGGCTGAATGCCACCCAAATTCTGTAAAGTTAGCAAAATGATGTTTAGAAAAATAAGAAGCAAACAGATGATACAAGATCTGCTCATTAAAACCCAAGTTGGAATATAATTATTCAATGTTGCAACACCAACAAATCCTAAAACTTACCTAAAAAGTTGGGGTAAAGATGGTCAATGTTATCTACAACATAATTACATTTGGGACATCTGTTGTTGTCTTCCAGGCTTTGATGAATACATTTATAGCTGTTGAAGGGAAAACAAACCAGAACCATGAGAAAGAAAATACAGCAAGCAAAAGCATGTGTACAACTGGGTATGTTGTGCCACATTCTTTAATCCCTTGCTTTCTACTTGCATAGTATACCATAAATATTGCAGAAGTAGGCCTATGGCCTAGGTGGCTTCAGGTAAAAGACCAATCAAGACCGTCAAGTAGATAAAACATTTTGGATAGTACTGAAAGCCACCAAGGGATCAAGTAGAACCAATACCTTCTTCACAAAATAGGTCATTACAGGGTAACCAAAACTGGACCCTGATTAAAATGGCTCTAGACTATCAGTTTTACCCAAGAGAGCCTGGAGTAGGTAAGTGACTACCCACTCAAGACGCTTGTCGATAAAGGCATCACCTGCAACTGGCCTATACTTGTTAAATCTCCTGGTCCAAGATGGAGCAGAATAATCTTAATGAATGCCTCGCAAGACGAAAAACCCGCAAGACGAAAGGGTTTTCCGTCGCGGAGGCACTTCGCAACACGAATTTCCCTATGGGCTTGCTTCGCAAGACGAAAACGTCTTGCGAGTCTCGCCATTTATTTATTTTTGCTCCCCCCCCCCCTTTTCAAAGCCGCTAAGCCGTTAATAGGCTGCCAGGGAACTGCCATCGCAGCCAGGAGTGGAGGAAGGGCTCCCAAGCGATGCCGGAGAAGGGCCCAGCAGGGAGAGGGGGGACTCAGCGGCCGGGGAAGGAAATCAGCGTTACACCAGGGAGAAAGGCAGGCAGAGGCGGGCTTCGGAGAGATGGCTCCAGGACTCTTCGCCAGAGACCAGCGGGGAGAGCACGGGTCCTCCACTGCCCACACCCACCCTGCGCAGAAGACTTCCGCGCAGGGAGGCTAGGCGGAGACTATCCGTCAAGGAACTTTTATGTTGGAAGAAGTTCAGGAAACGCCCACTGACGGATTCTGCCAGTGACTGAGACAGACGCGGAATCAGGACTGTCCAGCCAGGGAAAGGTTTATCCAGGCAACCTCACCGAGAGTGGCGGCAACTTACGCACGAGCAACCCCCAATTCCCATTACATAGGCTTTTAACAGCTTAGCCGCTAAGCCCGCTAAGCCGCTAATAGCGCTAAATCGCTAATAGCGCTAATCCGCTTAGCCGCCAATGGGTTGCTTCGCAAGACGGAAAAACCGCTAGACGAAAAGAATCGCGGAACGGATTCTTTTCGTCTTGCGAGGCACCACTGTACAGTCTTCAGGATCTATCTCTAGGAAGTATCCATGAAAATGTTCATTCAGACAATGTCATTCTGTGCCACTTGCTCAAAAGCCACCCCAGCCACAGGGTGCATCCAATAATCCAACCCCAGCCCACAACACTTAATTTTATAAATAAATTTATCATGCTATGCAGTTTGGTCAACAAATCTTACCAAAAGCTGTGCCCACATTTTGTCATGTAAGCTTCTTCAATCATATCAAAGCAGATGGGGCTGGAACAAAGAGGGGAAAGGTGTGTAAGTAGTGCATCACATAAGTTAAACAGGCAACCTTTCCATTTACTGGAGAGAGGGGAGAGAAGAGGGAGAGAATGAACAGCACCTAAGGAACATTAAACAAATACCAACAGATACTGGCCTGGTTAAGCATAGTTAATGATGGTTTAATGGGAATAAGGAGCACACTAGTGCACAATGGTGAAATCGCAGACACTTTGCTGTTCCTACCCAGCTCCTGCCACATAAAGAAGGAAACTAGTCAAAGTCTGGATTTCTGTTGCATCAGAATCTGGGTTCGATTCTCACTATGGCTTGCTTCCTTCCAGACACATAGGCAGCAGCAAGGGAGAAGCAGAGGAGGATTAAAGCACCACAATTTATTTTGAACTATGGTTTAATGTGGTGTGCAAACCAGCCCATTGTTAAAGCCTGTATCAATTTATTTGGAAACCATTGAACTGTGCTGAAACCAACCAGCTGATCCAAATAATCTCATGTGCAACAACTTTAAAAACCTTCCCAAAAAATGGCATAAAAGCAGTAAATGCAATAGTTCCACCTAAAGTATTCTGCTTAAATATGTTGAGATGTAAGATATATCTGGAATAGTATTTCTGGAATGATATTTGAAATTACATAAATCAAAAGGCACCCTTCATTGGGAATTGAACTTCAAAAAGATAAAGTGGCGGAATTAGCAAAATATCTTCAGTACTTCCTAGGCATTTTCTTCTCAAATTCACTTTGCCTCCACAACAATCTTTTCATCCTCCAAAGTGGCACTCTAGAACTGGAATATGACTGCCACTCTCTCTGTGATGGCTCTAGTAAGTCATATCACAGCTTTACCATCCCTGCCTGCCTCCTGCCTTCTAGTAGTCTGCAAGAGGTGCCAGCTGCTCCAATACCCAAATCTCTTCCACTGTTGCCACCTGCCTTCTTACAGGCTAAAGTTGGCTTAGCAACTTTCGATGAGGGATTTTGTCAAAAGCTGTATGAAATCCCAAGTATAAAATGTTTATCAAATTGCCTTATCTACATACATGAGTGCGATCCTTCTAGAATATTTAACGTCTTCTTTAACAGTGTTGAGAAGGAGAGCCCACAACTAAGTGTCAAGCCTCACAAGTTAGGAAAGGTCAAAAGGGTGCATCAATCTCTTTTAGTGTATCAATCCTCAAAGTAGAAACAAAATGTTCACAGTATTTGTCCTAAGAACTCTAGAATGAAACTCAAGACTCCAGATCATTTTTGGTTAAAAGCCAGATTCAACAACAACAACAAACAACAACAAATAGTATTTGAACTAAAACTGCATAGACTATTTTCCTCTATAAAAGGAACAGCAAAAAACTGCCCACCCCCAAGATAAGCAAGTATTTCTAAAACAAAGGAAGCAGTCACTTCAGTTTTCATACTGTTTTAAGAGAAAGTAAGCATGGTGATCCAAGCAATCTTTTGCTTCACCCTGCCCTGTATCCTAAAGAAACTTACTCAATTCCACACTGCATCTTCTGCCAGGACAGATAGAAGTCACCTACTGCCCTAGGCTACAGTCCTGCCAGTGCCGTATAAAATATAACCTTACAGTCAACATTACCTAGGTCTATTTCACTGACTACACAATGTTTTCTGAATGTGTTAATAAGGCTTCAGTTTTAGCTAAGTAAATTTTTAGCTAAAGAGATTCTGACAGATCTTCTCTTACTGGTTTTATCCTTATGCATGAAAATGGAAGCCTATGATTTACTTCTCCAAGAGCTGGGTGGATAGAGAACAGAAGCTGGCAGGGTTGTAACTGGTATTTATTTTTTATAAATATTTTTATTCAAAGATTTACAAAACAGTGTTTGTTACTAAGGAATTTATCTGTATAACAAGAAATAGAGTCACCATAAACTGTTGTACATCCTAAAGTCTTTCCAAACAGTCTTCCGAAATCACATTTCAGTGGAGGAATTGTAGTGTGGCTCAATTTATTCACATAAGAAATAAAAGAATACAGCATATTGTCAAATCCATCTTCTTCTTTTTACCCTTCAAAGCCTTTTATCTAGCTGTTACCGTATTTTTCGCCCTATAGGACGCACTTTTTCCCCTCCAAAAATGAAGGGGAAATGTGTGTGCGTCCTATGGGGCGAATGCAGGCTTTCGCTGAAGCCTGGAGAGCGAGAGGGGTCGGTGCGCACCGACCCCTCTGCTCTCCAGGCTTCGCGGACCTCTCCGCAAGCAGCGGAAGCGCTCCCGCTGCTTGCGGAGAGTTGCCTGCATGCTGAAGCCTGCGCGCGCCAAGCTCAGTGAATCCAGGCTTTGCGGACCTCTCCGCAAGCAGCGGGAGCCAGCGCTGGGCTCCCACGGCTTGCAGAGAGCTGCCTGTTTGGGGGCTGGGGTCAGGGGAAGCTTGGGCTTCCCCCGCCCCAGCCCCGCGCCTGGGGGGGAAATAATTTTTCCCCCTTTATTTCCCCCCCAAAAAACTAGGTGCGCCTTATGGGACGGTGCGTCCTATAGGGCAAAAAATACGGTAATTCCTCAGCTGGGGAAATTTCCCAAAAAATACCATCTGTATCATCTGAAATTACCGTAGTTAACCCTAGGACATTTTTTGAGTGTTTAGCGATCAGTTGGTGAGCCACCACTCACTTGAAAACCTTGTGAGGTAACAGACATAACAACCCAAGCTTAGGAGCACAAAGAAGGTTTTGATTAAAATCTTGCCAGTTTCCTCAAATCCTTTTGCCAAAATTAGCTATAGAGCAACACCACAAGCTACTTGTGCATTACAGTCTTTCCAACTTTCCAACAGCAGACCTGTCTTTTTCAAATCTGGGGCATACGTCACCTACATAGGAGAGAGGAGTTCAAGGGTGCTGAACTTTTCCCTTACCTGGTTGCAATCACAGCCATAACTACAAGCAAATAAACTGTACAGAACACAGCAGATTTTGCTTTTAAGAGAACATGTAAGTACATAAGGTACTAAATCCCCAGTTCAAACCACTCCTCAGCCATGAACACATAAAGGCAACATGGCCCTATCCCTGCGCATTAAGGAAAAAAACAGCTCTGGTTGCATTTGGAACAAAGGCCTACCTGGTCCCATCCTCAAAGCTCAATCCAACACTGACCTACCTCACAGGGCTGTTATAGAGATTCTGCGCATTTGGGCATTTTCTCCCGAGGGCTCAGCACTCCACACGCGCTCATGTGAAGAAGGCTTCCTTCCGATAACCTTTCATAGCAATCCCTCTGCAAGGTAGGGACTGGTGGCCGAGGCGCACTTTGAACGCTTGGGAGATGAGTGTGGGGCTCTTAACCTCAGGGTTGCGAGTTCGATTCCCACCTTGGGCAGGTAGTTGGACTAGGTGGCCCCTCGTGGTGCCTTCCAACTCTGCAATTCCACGATTTTATGCTCTGCATCAGTGTGCACGTGTGCAGCCTGCCCCTGCTGTTGTTATTATTAGTAGCATCCGAATCAAGTCGTTTTCTTACGGTCAATGGCCAGTACCAAAGCAAAACACCAATTGGAAACTATGAAAGCTCAATAGAAAACAGAATAATATAAATTATTGGTATATTGGTATTATTGGTATCTGAAGAAGTGTGCATGCACACGAAAGCTCATACCAAGAACTAACTTAGTTGGTCTTTAAGGTGCTACTGGAAGGAATTTTTTTTGTTTAGAATAATATAAAGACACCACGACATGGAAGAGCCGTTCTGGGTGGGCATTTATTTACCTGTCAGAAAGGAAACCCTTCTGGCCTGGGAGCGCCACTGCTAATGGGGATTTCTCGGATCTCCCCGTGGCGGCTTCTCGCCCTCCCGCCCTCCGTCCCTCCCCGCCCAACTCACCACACGAAGTCGTTGCTCTTGTCCTCGTAGGAGTTCAGGAGCCCGTTGCAGAGCGGGGTGAGCAGCGGCCTCTTCCTGCTGCCACTCGCGCCGCCCGCCGCCGCGCCGCTCCCCGAGGCCCCGGCCCGGGCCGCCCCGGCCAGCCGCGAAAGCCCCCCGCCGGAGGAGGAGGAGCCGGAGACCACGGCGGCCACCAGCACAGGCCGCGCGGGGGCCCCCAGCCCCGCCGGGGCGCAGGCGGAGGAGCCCGGCGCCGCCGCCGAGGAGGCCGCCGCGGAGGCCGAGGTGGTGACGGAGGAGGCTGCGGAGGAAGAGGAAGGTCCCGGGGGGGCCGCCGCGGCGCCAGGCCCCGGCGCGGGAGTCGAGTGCTGCTGCTGCTGCTGCTGGGGCGGCGGCGGAGGAGGAGGCGGCTGCCGGCTCCCTGACATCCCGAGGCCTGTTGGGCTCGACGGGTCGCCCGCCCGGTTCAGTCAGCGCATCATTTCCCCTCAGCACGGGCGACTGTCTGCGGGGAGGGAGGGGACAATAAAGTTTCAACAACGAAAATAAAAACTCTCGCTCGGCGACGCCGCCGACGCCTTCCCTCCGCCCCTTCCACTCCGTGTGCGGGAACCTGATTGGTTCCCGCGGGCCGCCTCCCCTTCCAACCCAGAGATGGAGGGGGAGAGGGACGCGGGAGAGGAATCTGATTGGTTCCTGGACACCTCCCCTCCCCTCCCGGGAAAAAGAGGAGGCGGGGAAACCACCTCGTTGTTGAAACTTTATTACCAAGCGCCCGTCCGTTGACAAAAAGCATTCTACCAACGAGATGAACGTCGCCAGGCGGCTTGCGTTGAGTTTTTCCCCCTTCCTGTCAGAACGCGCAAGGCAACGCGCCTGCGCACAAGGTGCGAAAGGCTGGGTAGCCTAGCAACCGGAGCGGGCCTACCAAACCCCCCGCCTCTGCTGGAGTTGGTTAAGCCCCCGACTGACCCCGAAGAAAAGCGGGGCTGCTGCAGGAATCTCAACCCCATCGCTAGATGCAATAGCTTCAGCTGCATCCGTACGAGTCTCGCTGACTCTGTTTCGGAAGCTCTGTGTGTGGATCATTCTGTTTCATTTCTACCCCGCTTTCCCCCCTGAGAGGACGGGACTTCCAGATTTTTTAAAAAGAGAGAGAGAGAGAGAGAGAGAGAGAAAATAATTGCTTAAAACATAGGGGGGAAATACAATTAAATATTGGTAGACTCGAAGCTATTTATATTAAATCTATATATTAAAGTCAGGCAAATTATTATTATTATTATTATTATTTATTCCCCGCCCATCTGGCTGACTTTCCCCAGCCACTCTGGGCAGCTCCCAAATGAGTCTTAAAAACAATACAGCATTAAATATTAAAAACTTCCCTAAACAGGGCTGCCTTCAGGTGTCTTTTAAAGATAGGATAACTGCTTATTTCCTTCACATCTGAAGGGAGGGTGTTCCACAGGGTGGGCGCCATCACCAAGAATACCCTCTGCCTGGTTCCCTGTAGCTTTGCTTCTTGCAGTGAGGGAACCGCCAGAAGGCCCTCGGAGCTGGACCTCAGTGTCCAGGCAGAATGATGGGGGTGGAGACGCTCCTTCAGGTATAGTGGGCCGAGGCCGTTTAGGGCTTTAAAGGTCAGCACCAACACTTTGAATTGTGCTCGGAAACGTACTGGGAGCCAATGCAGATCTCTCAGGACCAGTGTTATGTGGTCCCGGCGGCCGCCCCCAGTCACCAGTCTAGCTGCCACCAATGATTCCCAAATCAGTGCAATATAAAACAGCTGGGCAGCAGTCCTTCCATTGGAAGCAGTCAGAAACCCCTTGGAACAAAGAGGGTCTCCCACCTGCTCTGGGAAGGACAAGGAGAGAGAGAGATCCAGTCTAGCTTCTCCAGAGAAGGGAGTTCCAGAGTCGGGGAGCAGCCACCGGGAAGGCCCCTTCCTGGGTGCCTGAGAAGGTGGCAGGACCAAGAGAAGGGACTCCCAGTGTAGCACCATCCATGCTCAAGGAGGAGATGGCGGCACCTCCAGTCCTCCGCTGCCGAAATATTCTCACCCTTTTTGACAGGGTTCCTGGTCAGGGAGACAGCGATACAGGCTTTTCCCAGGAAAATCTTCCGCTTTCACATTCTTGCCTCCAGCCTATGTTTAAATGCACCAAAACCCTGCCGTAGGAAAAGGTTAAAACCCTATGTATCATATCGATTGCTGATAAGAAATCTCCAATGTTATATATGCAATTGGGGCAGGTCAAAGACATTTTTACCTAATCCAAATAACAGCCTCCTCTTCAACTAATTAATAAGAGACGCTATCTACTCCAAAGTTCCTCAACACAACTGTCGTCAAAATGATCAGTAATGCCCTTTTGCAGTTTCCATGCATCTTGGTAGACCAACGTAACCTTCCAGTGGCTTGTGCCTTTGAGTCAGCTCTGTGTGTATTGCACCACGGCTCTTAGTGATGCCAGAAATCCTAAGCCCCTTCCACATTACTTCATGGTAGGGCTAGGGCTACCATCTGCACCTTTTTAGCTGAACCATTCCTATTGAGTCTATAGAGTGTCTGGCAATTTCACTATCATATTGTTACAGGATTGAAGGGCTTGGTTTCTTGGAATGAAATCTGTGGATTCCTTCCAAGCCAGTGTATCTGTAAGATGGGAGTCAGTAGCAGAAGGAACAGCTGAAACAGTCAAGCCAGTCTCTTTGTTAACTCAGTGGTCCAGCCTGTTAAGCATCCTTTTAATATGTCTAAAGAGCTGGTTAAATACAGCTAGATTGCCATAGAAACAGCTAGCTAGTGATGCTTCCCAAAGAAGGGGGCAGGCCTTGCCCCCTCACCTGGCTGGATGACAAGTGCTTGGAGTAGGAGAATAATAGGCCAGTGGTTAGCCTTTGGCCAATCTCACCCATCCAGCTGTGAAGACACAAGCACTTGGCATGTTCTCTTCTGCAACCAGAACTGTGGCTTTGCATTACAGGTAAGTTTGTCTGCTGTAGTTGAAACAAAATAAAAAAATTCCTTCCAGTAGTACCTTAGAGACCAACTAAGTTAGTTATTGGTATGAATTTTCGTGTGCATGCACACTTCTTCAGATAGTATCTCATACCAATAACTAAGTTAGTTGGTCTCTAAGGTGCTACCGGAAGGAATTTTTTTTTATTTTGTTGTGGATTTGCATGGCCTTGGAAAGAGGCCTTCCTGGGGGAGCAAGCGCTTTGTGAGGCCTCCCTGGGGGAGCAGGATCTGTTGGAAGTGTTAATGCTGTGAGCGCTTCCATCTTGTGCTCAAGTTGTATAAGGAGCTATGTGTTGACATGCCCATGTTATAGTTAAATAAGTTAGTTATAGTTATAACCTGTTAGTTAAATAAGCCTCCCTAATTTTGTAAAACAAAAAAGCAAATTGCTGCGTTCTGAACTTTTAATTTTTTCAGGACACAGTAACATAGGAGAAGACCGCCATCATGTGAATATTAAGGGAGACAGGCACCTCTTTCACTACAAAGTCACATTGTTTGCTGTTGACAGAATGGGCTCGTCCACACTTCTGCTTGTGCTGTGCCTAGAAAGCACAGGCCCGAGTGGTCTTCCCCTTGCCCTGCTCCTTTCCAAGGGAAACCCCACTCTTTAGCTGTAGATTGGAACAAATGGCAATCCAGGGGGAACCTGAATTGCCGTTTGCTCCGAGCGCTAAAAAGCTGTTTTCCCTGGGGGGAAGCTGTGTGACAAAGTGAAGTGTGGATAAGCCCAATGTCCTAATATCTCCTGGAGTAATCTATGTTCCCAGATGGACTCAAGGACACTGATTTTCATTCAATCCCAGTAAATCTTGGAGAAGATGGCAAAGCTTTGGTCTCCCCACCCGTCCTGGAGGGAATACAGAGCCAGCCCTTCCATAGGCAGAGTAAGGCAACTGATACTACAGGGCAACTGATACTACAGGGAAGTTGAGGTAATTTTAAGCCGTTTTATTATTTTAAATTGCTTATATCTTAAAGTAGAGTTGTATTCCCCCCCCCCTTGACGTTACTGTTTTATGTTTCGTAAACTGCATTGAGAGGTGTGTTTTTTTGCAGTCAACGGGTGTATAAGTTTTACAAAATTAAAAAATAATAAAGAAGATTGGTGACAGGATTACTACTGATTATCATTATTCTTTCTCTCCGCTAGAGGGCAGACTTGCTCAAGAGAGAATAAGACTAAATAAATAAACAAATCAATGAGCAAGCAAACAATATCTGGACATGAAAATGGAAGAGTTTTAAGGTTGCAGGAGAGGCAGGGTAACACAGCCATGAGAATGGGCCCAATCCAATTCAATCACTTAAAATGAAGGGGATCTTAAAGGGTTCCTATAATATCCTCCCCCCTCACCTTTAAAAAAATGGAATGTTCACAATCTGCTGAAGAAGGGTCTGTCAGCCACTTGTTTTAAACTTCAGAGGTATTGATGTTGATCTAGGGAGGCAAAAGCACGAAAGAATCCTGCAGCACTTGTTAGCAAAAAGCTAACAAATCTATTGTGGCGTGCCAGCAGGCATGGTCAGATGATGTGATGCACTGCCCCTGGAGGCAAGCTCGGGAGGACTATATAAGACTTGCATTTCACTGTGGGTCTTTGCCACAGCAATGTGGTTTTGTGCTATGCTGTGGTCTGCTCCTGTGTTCCAGTTATCCTGCATCCTGGCCTCCTCTGGTCCCTGATCTCCGTTGGACTTGCTCCTGGCTGTGGACCCGCCACTTGGACTGCTACCACCGCCCATACCCTGGTCCTGGTGTCGGTCCTGGACTCTTGGCGCCCATGCCCTGGATTGTGACAGCATAAGCTTTGGTGGCCCAGTTTGGTCACTGTGGGATGCCCTACTTGGCTATGAAGTTTGACCCTGGGCTCAAGCCTAAACTATCTTAGAGTTGCTTTGAGGATGAAACAGAAGGGAGGGAACATGTCTGCTGACTTTAGTTCCTTGAAGGAAAAGCAGCAGCAGGCGGAGGATGTTGTGTATTACATTTGTTAGTTGCCGAATACTAAAAAAAAAAAAAAGTAACACTGCAAGATAAGCTGAAGGCAACAGATATTTGTTTCTTTACCTCTGTGTGTGCAAGCAGATGCAATTTGCACACGGAGATGTCTTCCTTGCTGCAAGTGGGAGTTTTCCTTCCCTACCTCCGACTCTGAAAAGGCAGCAGAACTCTCATGGCCCAGCATTCTTTTTTTTTTTTTTAAGAAATATTTATTCAAGATTTTTTACATTTATCACCCAACACATATAATCCCGTACCCAACAGTACAATAAACAAACAAAAAAGATATAACAGTAAAAATACATACAAAAAGAAAGAAAAAGAAAGAAAAAAACAAAATTATAGCATCATATCCAAGTTTTCCTCACTTTTGGACTTCCTCACATCCTCCATTCCTGCTTTCCAGGTTTATAAAGTTCTATACAGCAAATTATCACCTTATTTCAATTTCTTATTTGTATTTTCCCCATATTATGTCTCTAATTTTAGGTTTATTTTCCAAAAGCTTGAATACTTAATTAGACATAATA